CATTTGTATCAGGTCAACTAAAGACAGGCATTGTAACAATAATTTTATACTACATTTATCCATTTTAAATATACTAACCTCACTCATTTGTAACAACTAAGGCAAAAACGTAATTAATTCAGAAAATCTTTTCAGGACCCCACCTTGATGTTTCGGGACCCCAGTTTGGGTCCTGACCCCAACTTCGGGAAATGCTGCCCTAAATATTCACTTACAATAAACTTTTTTTGTTTAAATCAAAGAAAACAATTACAACATAACTGAAAAACAACATTTATAAGGGATTATGGTACTCCATGTGAAATTACTATTGCAAACAACAGTATCCCCTAAAGTCACCTTTACTTTTGCCCTCTCGTGCACTCCAGTGGTTTCAATTAATTTGTCTCTCCCCGGGTCTCAGCTTGGGCATATCAGCCCAGGAGACAGGACACCCATTACTGCCAGGTCTCAGGCTCAATTTAGACTGGATGGCTGAGGAAACAATGACCTAACACTGTGGGGGTAATACAATATTCTCTAAATCTGAAACGAGAGTTGTATACTAGGACAGKTGTGCTCATTATTGAATATCTACAATGACATGTGTCAATTGTTCTACAGTTTGGAGCTAGCTCTAACAGGTTTTAGGAAAACCTGCGAGTTTTTGTTGTACTTAAGTTTGAAAACGGAGGTGTGCTGAAGATTGCATGACTGTGCCCTTCCACTTCTGGGTGACTGGTCTATATCTGGCTTTCTGGCCACAGGAATTCTTTGTCAGGGCACTAACAAGCTAACTATGTGTCATTTAAACATGGTATGTATCTGTATGTGTCATAAACAAATAGAAGAGCAGAACATACAGRATACAGGAAAAGTTTGAGAGAGACTATCTTCTTGACTTTTATAGGATTTTAAACAAATAATTAGAAGAACACGATGTATCAGGAAAATTWGAATTACTTAGTTTAATACAATAATAATAATTATATTTTTTACTATTAAATAAAATAAAATAAATTACTGACACCTATAATTCAACAGTGGGTGTAAAGCAGTTTAAAAATGATACAATCCCCTCATAATTGTAACCCTTATCCTTTTTATTAAGCATCTTCTACAGATTTGCTGGTAATTCATTTAGATATTTTTGAACATTTGAAATTCCACTGAAATTTGATAAAACACACTGAGCTTTTCATTCTGCAGACCAATCAGAAGTATTCACAAACAGCTATCAGTGTGCAAAGCTGATAACAATGACCCTGCAAATGAAAGCACAGAAACACTTTTATAATTTTTTTTGTGTTGTAAAATTTGTAAACAACTTTTTAAAGTTCCATTTCTCATAARGACTGCCCAGGTGGCCAAACAATTTTAATCAGCATTTCTTTATAATTCTGAAAACCTCAGCATTCTCAAAAGGGGGGGYAAAAGCATTAAAGAAACAACCGTATGTCAGTATTAGGGACACAATATGCAAATCAGCCAAATGCACACCTTCACATCAACYTTGAAACAGCAGGCAGCAAAGGTCATTCATATTTATTGTGCCAGAAATGCCAAGTGATCCATCAATCAATGTGTGCTTGCAAAATCATAAAATTTTACACTTTCCTGTGCTGATCAGACTAATACATATATTTATATTGTGGTGAAGGATATAGAAAGTACAGAAACAGTGGAGTCGACTGAACTGCCTCCACCCCCCCCCTCCACACACACACACACACACTGGTTCTTCTACCCCTGATAGAACTTTACATTGACTTCCATTCATTTTTATTGCCTTACCCTGACCCTTAACCATAAACCCAACCTAACTCATTCAAACCTTAGTCTTAAACCTAACACCCACCACCACCAATGGCATTTATCCACATGGGGACTAGGCTTAGGTCCCCATAAGTACCAGTTGGTCCCCACAAGTAGGTGTGTATGCCAAAAATGGAAATAGGAAATAACCACACACACACACACACACACACACACACACACACA